TGGTTGGAAGAAAGTGGGATGGTTGATACAAAGTTCTAACATGGAAATTTGTGGGGAATGTTTAAAGAATAACAGAAAAAGTTTGAATGAAAAGTTTGCAGTGAGAAAAGGTAGTGAGAGATGAGGTCAGTCTAGTTGGGGGAGGCAGATTGTAGGTTGTTTTGAGGTTTTTGCTTCCACCATGAGATTAGAAGCCATTAGTTAATTTTTTTTCTGTATTATTATTACCTGAGAGGGATAAAGAAAGCTACAACTACTGTATGCTAGTTCATTCCTCAAATAAGTGCCTGTAAATACTTGTCCTGTACCAGGTAGAAGTCAGAAACTCAGTGCATGTCTCCACGGGGATGACAGGGACCCAACCACTTGACCTGTTTCCCATGATGTGCATTACCAAGAAGCAATCACCAGGAGCCAGGGCTCAATCTCAGGCACTCCATGTGGGACAGTGTAACTGCTAGGCCACATAGCTACCAACAGGAGGGGGTTTTAAGTTGATGAGTGTTATATTCTCATTTATAAGATAGAAAGATCACCCTGTACTAAGAGTAATCTACAGAGGAGCAAGGTTAAAGCGGTTAAAGCAGAGAGACCAGTCATGAGGCTCATGAAATTGTCCAGATAAGAAATAATGGTCAGATCAAGAGAGCTGTGTACAAAGGAAAGAAATGGATTTTACAGAGCTAATGAGCTTTGCTAATGCTTTGGGTATGAGGTATATGCAAGAGAAAAGTCAAGCATATCGATTTTTTTCTATCTAAACAACTAGAAGGATGGAGTTACTAATAATGAGGTGGGAAAGATAGGAGGAGGAGCATAGCTGAGGGTGGGAGAAAAGCTAATTTTAACAAAATTGGACATCAAATAGACACATGAGTCTGGAGTTGCGTGATCAAAGCTGAAAAGAGAACTTAGAACTTGCTTTCTCCTTGCCCCGGGGATAGGGTTAGGAATGGCTGGAGCATGAATCAGAATTTTTCTGTAAAGGCCCAAATAACATGATTTTAGTTTGACAAGCAATATAATCTCTGTCATAACTCTGGCCTGTTGAAAGCAGCCCTTGAAAATCTGTAAACTTACATGTGTAACTCTCTTTTAAAGTTTCATCTGCAGACACTAAAGGTGATTTTACATAATTTTCACATTTGAAAACTATTCTTTTGTCACCCTTTAAAAATGTGAAAAAGCCACTCATACTTTGTGAGCCATATAAAAATGGTCAATAGACCAAATTTGGCCTGTAGCAAAGTGATAAATTCTAGGTTATTGACCTACAGATATATAGAGGACCAAGCAAAAGAACCCTGGCTTCATACAGCTTGCATTTAAAAAATAAATAAATTTGTTTTTGTTTTTGTTTTTCTTTGAAAGATTTTACAGAGAGAAGGTCCACCCAGAAATGGCCACAACAGCAAGAGCTAAGCTAATCTGAAGCCAGGAGCTAGGAAGTTCCTCCTAGTCTCTCAAGTAGGTGCAGGGGCTTGGACTTGGACAACCCCCTGTTGCTTTTTTTGGCAACAACCAGAGAGCTGGGCCAAAAATGGAGCAGCCAGGAAACTAACCGGCATCCACGTGGGTGCCAACGTCACAGAACAGAGGATTAGCCTGCTCCAGCCCCCAGCTAGCTTCCTGACAAGAGTAAGGAACCCTGGAGTGGAAACAGGTGATGGTATTCCATAAAGGTGACCTTCACTTTGAGAGGAGGCAGAGGGGATGAGCTTCTGGAGGGTCGGGCAGTACAGTAACTTTCTTTGTACTCTGTGCTCCTAAAGAGAAGCTGGAAATGCTGTGAGGGGTACAGGTGTCCTCATGGGAAAGCCTCTACTTATATCCATGCCATTTCAGTTAAGTTCCAATTTCTAGATATTTTTTCCAACTCCCCATCATTACTTCCTGCTTTTTATAAAAAGGATCCAGGCCAATGGAATTGGTTATTTCAGGGAAATAACTATATTTTCCTTTTGATGAATGAATCTTGCCTCTAAGATATCACATATTTGCACAAACACAAATAGAGAAATTATGGATACCGATAAATAAATTTCCCACAGAGCACTAACAGTCACCAACAAGATCTTAAATACCTACAATTAGTTTCAATTCCTTTACTAGCTTCCTATGCTATTTAAAGTAAATCCACTATTCTTTACCATGATCTGTCAAGCCTTCAGTGATGTATCCACATCCCTGTTACTCTTCCTTCACCTGCAACACTCCCAAGTTTACATTCTTCAAAATCTGAAATAGGATAAACTTGCTCTTAGAACTTTGTACTACCTGTTCCCTGTGGCCTGCTATTCCTCAGGCTTTTTCTTATGATAAGAAGGGATTATTCCAGTGAGGGGTTTTTCCTGACAACCCATGTCACTATTCTGATTTCACGTTACTATCTTAATTATGTATCGCTCTTTAATTTTGTGTGTGTGTGTACATGCACTGGTTTTATTCATCTGTTTTCCACCAATGGAAGTGGGATTTTGTCTTGCTTGCTTCTCAATTATCCAATCCTAGAAGAACATATGATAACATATTAGATACTCAGAAATAAATTTTAAAATAAATGTATGAAAGAATTCACACATGTACTTATGCCATGTGTTCAGCACTGTGAAGGCATGCTTGGACTTACTCTTTCTGTTCTCTTTGCTTCTTCACAACCTGATTTTTCTATAAAGTCACATATGTTCTGTTCCTCAGCATCTTTCTACATAGTAATAACCCATTACAGTTTAACATATGCCTCTCTGTCCTTCAGGCGAAACTACTTACAATAGTTTTCAGTTGTCAACAACTTCCCAATTGCTAAGTCCAATGAATTTCATAGTGTCATCTTATGTAACACATCAGTAGCTTTTAACAGCTTCCTCCTTGAAAAATTACCTTTTCTGCCTTTACATCCATTTTGTGTCAAATTTTAAAATATTGCAAAAGAATTGGGTATTTGGTACAATGGGTAAGGCACCAGTTGGGATCGTTGTATAGCGTATTGGAGCCTCTTGGTTTGAGCTCTAGCTCCATCCAACTTCCCACTAATGCACACTGGGAAGCAGCACATATGGCTAAAGGATTTGGGTTCCTGCCACAATTGAAAAACAGTGATTTTTAAGAAAAAGAAATTTTTAAAAAGATGATTTAGTTATTTGAAGGCAGAGTTTCAGAGAAATTTTCTACTTCTATCAACTATCTGCTTGGGCCACACCCCAAATGGCCACAATGGCTAGAGCTGGTCCACTCCAAAGCCAGGAGCCCAGAACTTCTACGCCTCCCACATGTGTGCAAAGCCCCAAGCAGTTGGGCCATCTTCCACCACTTTCCCAGGTACATTAATGGCGCCAGATCAAAAGTGGAGCATATGAACTACATTTAACTAGAAAGTGTATGACTTTGTTAGTTGCCTTTTTCAATGTATCCTAATGGGTCATAATGGTTGAAGTGATAAATTTTATTTTGTATATGATCATATTTTTTCATGATCATTTTCAATAGAAAAGAATGTTGAAGGTTGTTATTTTATTCTAGTTTTTCATTTTAGTAAGCAGGAGTTGAAAGTAAAGTTGCTTAAAGAATATCTTTAGAACCTTTGTATTCTTTTCCTTTATTGTGACAGTAAAATCCCACCAGGCACCTGTTCACAGCATCAAACAACAAAATGAGTTGATAGACTAACCCTCTTTATTAGAGGTTCCCAGTAAAGAACCTAAGAAATAAGCTTATCCAAGTTTGTGCTCATCTTTTCTTCCAATACTAAGGTGGTGGGGGTAGGGATTAAATTTTTCTCTGCTTGTTGAAGCTACTGCCTGCTTGAGGGTGGCTCTGTCATCTCTTTTGTCTACTGTTTTGTTTGTAAAGATATGTTTGTTTGCTTGTTCAAAAGGCAAAGTTCTATATACTGGTTCTCTTGCCCCAAATGCCCAAAGCAGTGTGCCTGGGCCAGGGTGAAGGCAGAACTCAGAATTCCATTTGGGTCTCCCACATGGGTGGTCTTCAGGTCATCATCCACTGCCTTCCCAGGTTCTTTTGCAGGAAGCCAGATTTGGAAGCAATGAAGCCAGGACTAACCAACCTTCAGTTTGGGATGTAGATATGTGAAGCAGTGGCTAGACCCATTGTGCCACAACTCCTGCCCCATGATTTTTTGTTTGTGTGCATACAATTTAATAAATCAATTATATGTCATACACTCAAGTAAGTATCACCATGTTCAGTAAATAAAATTGCAAGCTGTCAGGCCAAGCATTGAGGTATGGCAGGTTAAGCCACTGCTTGTGAGGCAGGTATCAAATATGACCACTGGTTTGAGTCACCCTAGTGCTTGAGTCCCTGCCACCCACAGCAGAAGCTCAGGTGGAGTTCTGAGCTCCTGGTTTGGCCCGGCCTAGTCCCAGCCATTTCAGCCATTTGGGAATGAATCAGCTGATGGAAAATCTTTCTATATACGTATCTCTCTCTGTCCTTCAGTTACTCTGCTGTTCAAATAAAGTAAATCTTTAAACAAGAGAAAGTTGCAGCTCCTAACCTTGTGTATTCTGCATTCTCCTCATTGAAGGGATCACCAGTGTGGTTTGTTTGTGAATGATTTCTTTGTTCGTCTTTGTAATTTTTCAACTCTGTATGAATCTCTTCTTGATCTGCTGCCTTCTACTCTTTGTACTCTGGCACTGATCCTAAAATTCTTACGCTACGTTTATTTTTACCCTGAACCATTGTCACTTTCAACAGTTGTTTCTTGGTCTTACCACCCTCATTGACACTCCTCTCTGAGCTCTCTAACTGTGCTGTCCTGTATCTCTATCATTTAACCCTTTCTTCCCTCTCCTCTCCACAGACCTTTGGATCCTGTAAAGGTTACTGTCTCCAGGATTTCCATTCTTAGTCCCCTGCCACTGCACATAAAGCTCTTCAGAAGCAGTGTTTCTGAGAAATCCTTGACTCTCTTGGAAAGAATAAAGTTTAATTTTTTCCTAACATTTATTAAATATTCACAAATATTCACATTGCAGATCAAACCTGGACCACCCAGAAAGCCCAAGACTCCTTCTGGACAGTCAGCCTTAGTGTATTGTTACAACTGTGCACAGAAAGGCCATTATGGACACGTAAGTTTGAATTTTGCGCTTAATGCATTCTGTTGGCAAGTAATGGTTGCTAAAGGATGAACTCAAAAGGAATTTAACTCTGCATGCTTACTTGTTTTTAATATAAATTAGCATTCTGAGGAGTGAAATGTAATTTCAACTAGTTTATTTCTTCCTTGCCACAATAACAATTTATCAGAGCGTACTTTTCTATTTTAGATGCATATGAGCAAGTTAGGCTAAAACAAATCTTGTTCACAAAATTAATCAGACAAGTAATAGTATGATAATAATGCTCATGTGTTCTTGCATTTATATCTGACATAGCCACATCGTGATTTTAGATCTCTCATTTAGTTCACCTTCTTTGGCACCCTGTTCAATTCAGCCTTCATAACTCACATACAAACCTTTATGACTCAACAGTGGAAAGGCAGAGGTGGTCCCTAATTGACTTTCCATCTACCCCATGAATGCCCAAATTTCCTATCCAAGTAAAAAGGGCAAAAAAGTTCAAGGTTTAAGCATCAAGGTTAAAAGCAGGAGAAAACTTTTCACTTTGTGATGGGCATGAGATAGTATATTTAGCATGAAGCCAGCAGCTCATCCCAGAGAGAGAATACAGCAAGAACAGACTTAGACCCCATTTACTTGGGGCAGTCTGTGTTCAAATGAGAAAAGACAGTGGCCAGGAAGGAGAAAATCCTTACTTGAATATGCCTTCCCAGTCCTCTGACAGCCAAGGTAGACTATTATCACATCAGATCTGATGGTAGGGACAGAAAGCATCCAGAGGCTTGAGAGTCACTTGACGGGCACAGGGATAAAACAGGTGGATTGGGTTGTGTGATAGGTCACTTCTTGAATTCCAGTCATTACACTAGTCAAGGAGAATAAAAACTGCAGGGAGAGTCCATCGTCAGATGAAATTTATCTTCCATATTGGGGCATAGAGTATGAAAGCTAGGTTAAGGCATCCAGCCCTGGTTTTAATCTTTGCACTGCTACCAACTTCACTGTTTGACTTGAGCAACCCATGTGATTTCTTTGGACCCCAGTTTATCTCAGGAAGAAAAGATCTCAGGGCTGCCATTTGGATGCCATTCCCAGTGTGATCAAATTCATAGAATGATGATACAGATGGAGAGATCCTGTAGTACGCTTATTTCACTTTCATGGATTTCACATTGAAATCCTAACTAGAAAAGGTTTCTTTTTAAAAATTATCATCTCCAGATCTGCTTCTACTGTATGCATTCATCCTTGCTCCTAACATGCAGATGTTGCCAATGCCTTTTAGGGAACATATTCATATAAGCAGCCCACTGCCATGCAAATCACATAGAAGTATGATTTATGCTTGCTTTCCTCTTTAAAGCAAAGGGGTACGATTTCAGCATTTATGTTTGTTCAATTAAATAAAAACAATTAGAATTGGATGGTTACTGCTTACTAGTCCCTCCTGTTAACGTAGATAGGAAATATATTAAAAGCATTTGGAATTTATCCTTGAAATCTAGATTTAGATAATTTTTAATTTACAATAAAACAAATTTGGCAGCCTCATCATTGCCATAGATGAAGAACTCTAGATTATTCACACTAATGAAGAAGATCAGTGGTGTGGCTAATCCAGAACAGTAGATAAATTATATAGCCAACTATCAATTGTCTGTGCTAATGGAGAGGACCAGTGATGTGGATAATCAAAATATAATTTACATTTAGCTTTGGGAAACATTTCTAGTACCTTATAGCTCTGTGAAGTCACATCAGTCTAGACCATACAGGATCCAAATAGATTTGTGCAGGTGGTTCAAGATGTCTGAGGACTGCTCTTCAGTTTCAGAAATCCAATCTGAAATCTTGTCTTAGAAAGATGATCTAAGATAGACCTGGTTGGGAATACAAGAGCAGTGGTAGTCATTATACAAAGAGACTACTCTGAAAATGCATGAGAGGGTGTTACACTTAGGGTGTTCTGAATATGAAATTTCACATTAAGTTGTATGTTCTCATATGTATTATCAGTGTGCCTTTGCCTTGAGAACAGAATCACAGACAGCATTTTATGACAGTATTTCATTATGATACCAAACAGGTTTGCTTTGCACCCTCTAGGACGGAAAAAAAACTCAAGCAATTCAGAAAGCTACATAAATTAAATCTAAAGATAGTAGGACAGAAATAACAGAGTCAAGAAACAAAGCAATAGCATCAACAGAACCAGAAGCTGATTCTTTGAAAAGTCTTTTTCAGAAGAAAAGAGAGAAGAAAATCTACTCAAAGAACAACAAAAGTGAATAATCAATGAAATGTATAAATAAGTTAAAATACAGTAATTTTTAATTATAAAAAAAATGAAGTTCAAAGTTAAGCCTGAAAATCCAAATGAAATAATTCTCTAGAAAAATATAAACTAAATTGATTACAGAAAAACAAACCTATATGAATCAATCCTGTTAAAGAAGTTGAATAAGTGATCAAAATTATCCCCTTTGAAACATACCAGTTGTGCCTCTGTAGATAAGTTTTGCCAGATTTTTTTTCAGAAATATAATCCAAAGAAATACAACATAAGTTACCTTATAAAGTTATTATAACTCAAAGCCATTCCAAATATTCATGTAATGACATCATTCTTGTAGAATCTGACAGCTAGAAATTTACGCTGGAGTTAATTCGAATATTCATTAATAGCTTAAGAGCATAAAAATAGAATGGCAGACACCGATTTTATCAGTGTTAACTCCAAATGGAAAGAGAGGAAAGAGAACCAAAAAGGAGGGGCTTCTGTTATATCAATAATGTTCTGATTCTTGTGTTGAAGAGAATAGAAGTTACAGTAAAATGTTATGATTTGATGTAAATGGTAAATGCAGATTATTTTCTGTAAAAGTATATTTTCTATATAAATATATTATTTTCTATACTTAAGTGGATATTTAGGATTATTCCCAATTTTTTTACTGAAAATTAAAAACACATTTCACTACCAACCTGGTCACATATCTGTTAAGTCCATTGTGTAACAAAAACCAAGGTAATAATAATTCAAATAAACCCTGTAGATATTTTTACAGAATATGTGATGTCTTAATTACTTGTTAACACTTAGCTAAGAAATACCCAACATTTATAAATATGTTTTGTACAAGATGGCAGAAAACAGAAATGGGAAAGTTTCAAAAAGAAGCCTCCTTGAAATAAAAGGGTGTTTCAGAGATTTGTGTCACAAATCACAATGAATAAAACCTACGTGTGGAGGGGTTCAAGCCAAAGGGATGTGGATATGGGGCATGACTGCCACAGGAAGGCCAGAATCATGAGAATAGGCAGCTGTCCCGGGGAAATGAGAGTTCTGAGCCCATCTTATATGGGGAGAACAGAGGCTTCCCAAAGAAGTCGCAAAATTACCTAGGAAGATACAGCCCTCACCATGCCAGCCATTAGAATTCCTACTGTTGTTAGTAGTGAAACCTGAGTTAAACTAAGCTTGCAAACTCCCTGTGTCTAGAGCAAAGGGCTAAGAGTTTACCCTCTACCTGTTGAGGATGAAAAGAGATGAGAGAAGCATTTGATGAAAGGCTTCTAGAATAAGCAAACAAGGAAAGGACTACCAATAATCCAAGGCTAAGTAAAGCAAATGCTCAAACATAAGTACAAAGCAAGTGCATTTAGAACCCACTCCTTGATTCTGATGACTCAGAAAATGGGAAGGGATACCAGGAAGTGAACATATGTTGCAATATGCATCTCTACTCTTGCATAAAAGGAGGATCCCAATGAAACTGTTAAATATATCTCGGTGATTTAATACTAGATTTTCTTCCATTGCCTATACCTGCAAAGGCATGCTACACTTAAATAGCAGAATGTTAAACTTGTAACTTTTACTAACAGACTATACTACTGTAATAATATGGGGGAGGATGATGGGAGGGGAAAATGAAGAGGAGGAAGGGAAGGGGGGAAATCCCTATACCTACAAAACTGTATCATGGAAAATAATAGGGATTTAAACAAAGGAGAAAAAAGAAAATAAGGATTTTATAGTTAAAAAGGAAATCAGGAAACCCCAGGCTTGGAAGAATAGTACGTCAGCACAAGTGGGTTGTAGCCTGGGTGACCTTCTCATCCTTTGGTAAGGACCATGTCTTGTAGCCCAGCTTGAGGTTCTGTGTGGGGGGTGGGGGGTATCTCCAGTTATCATCTAGAAGCTTGCAGAAAGGTTTTCTAAACAGTATGGCCCGGTGACTTCACAATTTCAAATGCAATTTGTAGGAGTGTACAGAAAGAAGAATGTTTAGCCAGACGTTTCCAACATCTCCATTTATCCTGTATTATGATGACAAATATGAAATTCGGGAGAGAGAACAGAGAATAAAAAGAAAAGTAAAAGGTATGTCACTAGACTTATCACTTTTGACATTTATAGTAGTTCCTAAATTGCTGAACTTTCTCTTTTTTGTTTGTTTCATTATCTTTGCTATATAGAGTGGGGAAGGGAGAGGAGAGTGTCATAGTCATTGAAAGTGTTTTTTACAGTTGTTATTAAAACGTTCTTCTTGATCTCCAGAAACCAAGTGCCTACATCAAAAATTCCATCTTGTAATCTATTCACAAAAAGCATTTTTATCACATAGTGATCATTTTAGAAAATACACAGAGGGGCTGGCGTTGTGACACAGTGACCTAAATTACTGTGGCATCCCAAGCCTGAGCACTGATTTGAGTCGTGGCTGCTCTGCTTCCGATTCAGCTCCCTGCTGATGCACATGGGATGGCTTGAGAGCCTATGTCTGACCTACGGGGAGACCCAAATGGAATCCAGGTTCCTGACTTCACCCAGAGCAGCCCTGGCCTTTGCAGCCATCTCAAGAGTGGACTAGCTGGAAGATAGCTCTCTCCTTTTCCCTTTTCTTCTGCCTTTTAAATAAATAAATGTATCTTTTTTTTTTAGAAAAAAAGTCCAGAAAATATTATCATCCATCAGTGTGTGCAGAATTTTAAAGACTCCCTTGATGTTTTCTTAACGAGTGATTATTTTTTTCCCTAAAGAAACTCTGCCCTGATAGGTGATCCTGGAGCTTCCTTAAAAAATCTTTTCTTGAGCCTGGCGGTGTGGCCTAGCGGCTAAAATCCTCGCTTTGAACACGCTGGGATCCCATATGGGCGCTGGTTCTAATCCCAGCAGCTCCACTTCCCATCCAGCTCCCTGCTTGTGGCCTGGGAAAGCAGTCGAGGACGGCCTAAAGCTTTGGGACCCTGCACCCGTGTGGGATACCCGGAAGAGGCTCCTGGCTTCAGATCGGCATAGTATCGGCCATTGCGCTCACTTGGGGAGCGAATCATCCGACGGAAGATCTGCCTCTCTGACTCTCCTCCTCTCTGTATATCTGACTTTCCAATAAATAAATAAATCTTTTTTTTTTTTTAAAGTGTTTTTGTACAAGCCACCATTGCAAGCAGAACTCCAGCCCCCAGTCACCTTGGGGGGTTATTTTTACTGTTGCTTACAGGTAGCAGGTGGTGGCTCAAGTGCTTGAGCCCCTGATACCCAGTTGAAAGATGGGGTTTCTGGCTCCTGGCTTCAGCCTGGCTATTGCTGCTGTTACAAGCTTTTGGGGGTGAACTGTGGGTGAAAGAACAATCAACCTCTCTCTCTTATAGGTGAACATAATAAATGGACATTCTTAAAGATATCTCTTTCCACCTTTGTTCTTTGTCACTATATAATTCAAGATGGTTTTCCAGGTTCCCTTTCTTGCTTCAGGACAAATAGTTTATTTTCCAAGTTGTTCTGAGGCTTTTGGCTTTGTTATTCTTTTTTAAACTCTGAGATCCAGTCTTTTTCATAGTGACAGAAATAGAGGAATTACTTCTCTCAGCTCTTGCATAGCTTACACATTATATTTAATACAGAATTTATTTCAGTTATACAAAAATTGTGCATTAAGACTATAAGTAAGCACCTGAATTAAAAAGAAATGAAAAGGAGACACATGGAAATGTTATCCAGAGTTTTAGTTTTTCCAAGTTTTCTATCATGAGCACTTTGCACCATCAGAGAACCATTTTTTTCTTCTGTTCTCTGTTGTATCGACATCTCTGTGGCACAAATCCGCCTTGAGATCCTCTGAGCTATTGCAGTATTTATTCTATGCTAAAAGTTTTTATTGGCCACTTTAACCTTCCAGGGTTCTGTTGATGTGTTATTTTGTATGTCTCATATAATCTCAGATCCCACCTGTACTTTATCAGAACAGCTACCACCAGATACTCCTAGTAAACGTGTCTAGTCCTGACAAATATAAATGTTAGATGTGGCACCAAAACCTCCAAGATACACACGTGCACACACTCACCAGCCAGTGATCCCCTACTCTGAAGGAGTTATCTCCTGGGCAGTTGGCATCCACCTGCAAGTACTGTGGACAGACTTTATCTCTAGGGGGTAATTGAAATGTCATGTCAGCCCAGCAAAGAGTCATTTTACACATCCTACTTCGCCTTATCTTCAAGGGTTCAGTTTATCACTGTAGGAACTAGAAGCAGTCAGACATGACTTTTCCTCACAAAGCTGATTACTGTCCTTCCTGGCCCTATCTCCATTGTTTAGATTATTTTAACTGTGTTGCGTAGAATCAATAAATAACTGTCATTGGGTTTCTGCATGTTTTCCATTTTTAGCAATCAGAAATATAAAATTCTAGCAGTTTAATTTTTTTCAATTTACTTTATAAAATTTATTTATTTTATTTTTATTGGAAAATCAGATATACAGAAAGGAGGAGAGACAGAAAGGAAGATCTTCCATCCAATGATTCACTCCCCAAGTGGCCACAGCAGCTGAGCTGAGCCAATCTGAAGCCAGGAGCCAGGAGTTTCTTCTAAGGTGTCTACCATGTGGGTATAGAGACCCAAGGCTTTGGGACGTCCTCGACTGCTTTCCCAGGCCACAAGCAGGGAGCTGGATGGGAAGTAGGGCAGCTAGGACTTGAACCAGTGCCTACATGGGATTCTAGTGCATGCAAGGCAAGGACTTTAGATGCTAGGCTGCTGTGCCAGGTTCCACATGGATTAATTTTTTAGAATACTATGCTGTTCACATGTTTAAGTGCCTAGCTTCCCTGTCTGCTAAGTTACTTGCAAATATATGGAGCTCTGTATGTACTGCCTACACATTAAACATGCAAAAATACTCTTGTATTTTCCAGAACTCCAGAAAAATGGGGATTTCCCAAGGCCATTCAAGAGACCTCATATGGAAACATCCAACAAGAAGCCGATGGATACAAAGAAGAGCCAGTGTAAAAGCAACAGGTGGCCTCGAGAAAGTAAAGAAATCCAGAAGGAACCAGTGAACAGGACCAGAGAGCAGCAGAAGCCTAGAAAAACTGACAGATATCATGAAGCAGATGAGGACTTTCCCAGGGGCCCAAAGAGCCACTCTTCTGTTGGTGGTTTTAAAACCCACAAGTCTCACAGATCTTTGCACCGTTCATCACACTTTCACAAGCCAAGAGAAGACAAGCTTCCCAAAGAGGGCAGGCGGGGCAAGCAGAGGGAGAGACGCACAGACGACGACAACGATAATTTGTTTCTTATTAAGCAAAGGAAAAAAAAATCTAAGCTGTGAGATAGCTTTTGACTGGGCTTCGTGTAGTTTTCACAACTATGGCATTTGGCAATACTTTGACTACACTTGAATTTTACTTTTTATTTTTTTAATTTCAACTATATCTAGAGTTCCTAAACAACAACCGTGAAGATCTCTGTTTTCTATAAGCAGACTCCAAAAGTTTGTGGAAGTGTCATTTAAAAATTTTCCATGAACTGTTTGAAACTCATTAGTATGTCCTATTAAGTAAAAAAAAAAAAAAAAGAAATTTAGACTTCTTTTGTTCCAATATGCCATTTTTTATTCAGAATCCTCGGGAGACTAAGAATTTTTATTTTCAAGAAAAATGTTTAAATATATTTTGAAAAAAAAATGCCCATTGCATATAGTTCATCTGCAGGGTGAGTGTTAAAATTTTTGTAGAAAGAGAATAAGAAGAATGCAGGGTTTTTTTTCAGCATAACTTTTTTTAAACCTTGGACTAGATACTTGCTGAAAATGTTCTTGCTTGTGAAACTGTTGACAGAATCTTGCTTTGTACAAACCATCACAGGCTGACTGTGAAGAAGAAGGTATCGTTGGAGCCCTGAAGAGGCAGAAAACTGGGCAGTATGGCAGCAGTAAGGAATGTCCCAAGACAGCTTCCCTGAAACCAGTGAAAAAGAGTCCTCATAAATTGTAACGTAATCATAATGACATGGTTTTTACCATTTTCACGGCCACTTTTCAGAACTGTCATTCATGTAAAATCGAATAATACCCAACTTAAATGTTATTCTTGTTTCCATAGCTTTTTCTTGACTGCCACAAAGTTGTACAGAATTTTTTGCATTTGTGAACCTTTTATACTTATCAAAACCTAATGCTAGAGAAACAAAAATAAAATGTCTAACATGAGTAAATAAAATTTTTGTCTTACTATGTAGAAAAGTAGTAAGGGTTTAGGTGAGAGAGATTGGACAAGTGACTAAAGTTATAAAATCACCATAAACTAGAGTCAAAGTATCCTTTTTATCCAGTAAGTTAGATAAAATGAAAGTCGATTAAACAGGAAGATTTCACTTACGGCACCAACATCACCTAATAGGTACCATTTCGAATCCCAGCTGCTCTGCTTCTGATCCAGCTCCCTGTTGGAAGCCTGGGAAAGCAGCAGAGGATGGCCCAATGCCTTGGGACCCTACCCTACATGGGAGACCCAGAAAAGGTTCCTGGCTCCTGGCAGCTTGGCTCTGGCTGTTGTGACCATTTGCAGAATAATTTGGCAGATGGCAGATCTCTTTTGGTCTCTCCTTCTCTCTGTAACTCTGCCTTTCCAATAAATATAAATAAATCATTAAAAATAATCTAGGATTCTTGAATTTGTATTTTGACTCTTAGGAAAGTGGCCATATTTCTGTCTACACAGTAGGATCAGCACTTACCATTAAAAGAGGAGAATTCTGTCTTCCCAAATGAACATTAGTGTAAATTGCAAATCCACAGGCCTACATTCCCACTCCCTGTTGCTTTATAACTGATCTAGGTTTACTGTGCGGTGGTATGTGGCTTCCTAACAACCACTGTTGTTTTGACCCTAAGGTAAGCTTAACCCGTGCTGAAAAGAACAGCCATGGTGAGCCTTGAGATAGCTTGTCCTAGTCCCCAGTGGCACCTGCAGAAGGAAAGCTTGTTGATGACCTGGTGTAACTACCCCAACACCTCCTGCAGGGCAGACATTGGGGACTACCTTTCTTTAGATTCTTGCCTATAGGGAAGATTGTTTGGAGGAGGGACTGTACTTTTTTTCTTATGTTTCCCTGTAACTTTTCATCATTCATCAGGCAAACAGTTTGTTCTGAGATGTAATTGATCCATGCACGTACGTGCAGACAGGAAAGGAGGCTGAGCTAGCTTACATTAGGATATAGTCTTCTTTTCCTAGTAAGAGAAGCACAGAGTGCCTGTTCCATTTCCTTTGCCCCATCCACTCCCCTTCACTCTTACACCAAGCGTTCAGCTACAGTTAGCCAGTCTATCACTTACACACACATTTTTCCCATACAAGAATGAGGATTTAAAATACAGATTACACAGTTACTCAGGTAAGATTTTCTATTGGTAACCACAAAAGAAGACGCAAAACAAGGATCCCTATAGTTGCTGATACTTAAGACCCTAATTAATTTTCCAAATCAGGAGCAATGTAACAGCAGATTTCCTGGATTCTACCTTGGTTCATGTCTGCCATTTTTGGAGAAGAGCAAAGGGAAGCCAGTCCCTATTTTCAATTGACCTTGATATTACGATGCTTATTATTAGCTCTTTATATCATAGAAAAATTATATATGTATTTTAAGGAAAAAAGATTAAATGGAAAATAAAAACATGTAATTTTTTTTCCATTCAGAAATGGGCTGGAATTCTATTTTTTTTTAAGATATATTTATTTTTACTGGAAAGTCAGATACACAGAGAGGAAGATCTTCAGTCCAGTGACTCATTCCCCAAGTTACTGCAATAGCCGGAGCTGAGCTGATCCGAAGCCAGCAGCCCGGAGCCTCTTCCAGGTCTCCCACTTGGGTGCAGGGTTCCAAGGCTTTTGGCCATCCTCCACTGCTTTCCCAAGCCACAAGCAGGGAGCTGGATGGGAAGCGGGGTCACCAGGATTAGAACCAGTGCCCATATGAGATCCCAGCACAGTCAAGGCAAGAACTTTTTCCACTAGGACATTGCAGTAAGCCCAAAAAGATAACCAAATGACCACAATGGCCAGAGTTAGTCTAGGCCAGGCCAAGGCCAGAAACCTGGAGCTTCTTCCAGATCTCCCACATGAGTGCTGGGGCCCAAGCACTTAAACCATCCTCTGCTGCTTACCCAGGCACATGAGCAGGGAGCTGGATCGGAAGTGGAACAGCCAGTACTATAGGCAACAGCTTAACCCAGTACTCTCAACACTACAATGCCAGCCTCAATACTTTTTGGACTTACGCCAGCATATGTTTCAAAATTTTGGAATGCAGTAAGTTACAACTATGTTTTGGTATACTGGATGCAATCATTTTTTTAACCTTGCCTCTGTCAAACCTAAAGAATCCATACTTGACAACATGCAAGAAGTTCCTGAAAAATCAAATTTGCTGCAGCATTTCTTTTTTAATGTAATTTAATTTATTTATTTTATTGGGAAATCAGATATACAGAAAGGAGGAAAGACAAAGTGGAAGATCATCTTTCCAATGATTCACTCCCCAAGTAGCAGCAATGGTTGTAGCTGCGCTGCTCCGAAGCCAGGAGCCCAGAGCCTGGAGCTTCTTCCAGGTTTCCTGCACGGGTGTCCCAAGGCCTTGGGCCATTCTCGACTGCTTTCCCAGGACAAGCAGGAAAGTAGATGGGAAGTGGGGCTGCTGGGATTAGAACCAGCGCCCGTATGGGATCACAGCACATGCATGGTGAGGACTTGAGTTGCAGGGCTACCCCACACCATGCCCATGGCTCAGCATTTCTTACAGTCACTTGCAGACCTTGCAGCCTTAATGAGAGTATCTGGAGCTGTATTTGCTGTCCATCCTGAAACAACATAGAAAATATGGAAACCATTTTCAAGACAGCATTAGAGGAGGGGCAGTGAGCTTCAGGAGCTGGCAACCAAGTGCAGAGCGCCGTGTGATTGCTACAGCTGAACACTTGGAGCGTTTCCCCACCATGGAATAAGGAACAGGAACCTAAGGAGAGCCTGACAGTCTCCCTGATGTGAAGAAACACAACTGGGAGCCTAGCAAAGCCAGGGCAGGTTTCCAGAGGTCTGCCAGAGGTGCCCTCTGCTCCCGTCTTCATCTGAGTGCTAATCTGAGCCCATTTGTGAGGAAGCCACCTGAACGAATCATCGGAAACTATTACTGAGTTCACACAGAGCCAGAAATAGCTTCTGTTCACACCAGTCAGAGTGGAAAGCCGCAGGGCCCGCAGGGCACTCGCTGGAGTCCACAGAAGAGTGTGATTGCTTCAGTGCTGAGGGGAAATTAGCCCGGGTCCAAAGTGTCTGGTTGTGCCTCTCTCGTCAAAGTAAGACCTGAATGTGTTGTTTCCAAAACTCAGTTCCAAGAACACTTAGAGAAACACAAATATATCTCGGCAACTAGTAAGATAAAATTCACCATGAAATACTACTTTAAATACAAGTTGCAATCTATTCTAACAGCAGGTCTGGGGGTGGAGGTGGGGTGGTCAGACAAAGAAGCATAAGAAACTTGGAAAGATGAACATGTTCATCGCCTTATCGGTGGTGATGCTTTCCCAAGTGTGCACCTTCTTTCAAGAAAAGGTCTTGCTCCACAGAAGTAGTCTATTACTGAATCGAGAACATTTTTGAGAAGCACAGCCAGTGTCCGATAGTTCACAGCCTATCTTCAATTTTGTTCGTTGTTTACCCATATAAGGCCAAGAAAAAAGACTTTGAAATTGGGCAAGTATCCAGCTGTAGGGGATTGAGGGAGGAGGGTCTCTAACCTTTCAGGCCCAAGCATGACCTTTCCCTGTTAGGCATTGTGATGGAAGCTGTGGGCACCAACATTGGGAAACGGGCCACAAGCTACACAAGGTCATGACTGCTGGCCCTGTTCTGATCTCCCCAGCATCAGCCTCTGCAGTGGTTCGCCCTGAAGGGTTCCAGGCCTTCACCTGTGTTTTCACTTTTGCTTTCCTGACCATTCCCAGACCATGTTAATCCTTCCTTTTCTTGTACTGCTGCTGCATTCCAAGTCATTTGTTCAACGGATATTTGCCATGGATCTTCTTTGTGCTAGATGGTATTTTGTCTTGAGGTTGACTTTATATAGAAATCTCTAATCTGAAGGACTAACAAGCAGTTCAGAAGACAAATACAGGGCCCGGCGGCATGGCCTAGTAGCTAAGGTCCTCGCCTTGAATGTGCTGGGATCCCATATGGTCGCCGGTCCTAATCCCGGCAGTTCTACTTCCTGTGTATCTCTCCTCCTCTCTGTATATCTGACTTTGTAATAAAAATAAAATAAATCTTTAAAAAAAAAAAAGGACAAATACAAAAGCCAGTGTTTTGTCTTAGAAGTGAGCAAGATGTTGAGAGATACGAATACAAAGGCAACACTGAGGAAAGAAAATGTAACTGGTCCCACCTGTGAGCAACATGGGACACTGGACAGGACCTTCTGACAGGTCTTCATAAGAAAATAAAAATGTGGCCTAGTGGCTAAAGTCCTCGCCTTGAACACCCAGGATCCCATAAGGGTGCAGGTTCTAATCCCAGCAGCCCTGCTTCCCATCCAGCTCCCTACTTGTGGACTGGGAAAGCAGTTGAGGACGGCCCAAAGCTTTGAGACCCTGCACCCTCATGGGAGACCCGGAAGGGGTTCCTGGATCCTGGCTTCGGATCGGCATAGCGTCGGCCATTGCGCTCACTTGGGGAGTGAATCATCGGACGGAGGATCTTCCTCTCTGTCTCTCCTCCTCTCTGTATATCTGACTTTCCAATAAGTAAATAAATCTTAAAAAAAAAAAAAGAAAAGAAAAATGTTAGCAATTTTCCATGTGCCAACAAAAGAGGAATAGCTGTGCTGGGAGAAGGTAGCATGTCTATAAAGCCATGGAGCTGTGGGGCTATGAAACAGATGCATCCTGTCCTGGTTCACTGGGGTTGCTGTGACAAGTACTGTAAGTGGGATGACTTAAATTTTGGCCTGGAATGTGGCACAGTATGTTAAGCCCCTGCTTGAGCTACTCACATCCTCTATTGGAGTTTTTGGTTTGAGTCCCAGCTACTCTGTGCTTCCAATCCAGCTTCCTGCTAACACATCCTGGGTGTCACCAAGTGTTGGCTCAAGCACTTGGATACCCACCACTCATGTGTGTAACTTCATTCCCTGCCTCTGTCACTAGACCTCATGGCCCACC